CCCATCAGTGTGTATTCCTGCTCCATTCCAAACCAGGGGTGCTGGGTGCTCACCATGTCCATTATCCGCTTACAGGTGTGCCTCAAATTGGTCTCTAGAAAAGAAAAAACAAGAGTCAACATCCCATCAGGAACCTAAGGACACAGGCCGAATCCAATGCTAACAGGAAGGTGTCAGTTATAGGCTGAACCAACCCAGTATAAACTTTTGTGTCCCATCAGTGTTAAGTTAGAAAAATGGGAGAAGCTATTGTTATACATTTGTAGGCAGACTCTGAAAGGCTTCAGTTATAATTAAACTCAGTTACAACCAAGTCACATGGGAGCGGATTCAGAACAGAGCAAGTGTTGGCCTATCTGCATGCTGGCTACCCCCCAAGCACCAAATGCCAGGCTCTTAACCCTCTATTCACAAAGCAGCTGCTTCTAGTTGTCAAGACTTATTCCTAGTTTCTCAGGCACTTAGAGCCAAATCTCATTTTTATTGGGAATCATTTGTCCATTAGAGGGCCTACATTCCAGGTGAGATTAAGGGCCAAGTTATATACAATTGGCTTGTGCAAAAGAAAAAAACAAAAAAACAAGGTGAGCTCAACTGGAAACAATTCTAAGCTAGAAAGGAACTTTAAAATAATAGACTTATTATGACTGCTTATTTATGTCCCAGGAACTATTTTAAGAACTTTATATTAAAAAAAAAAAAAAAAAATCACTCAACTGAGCATTATTTATTAAGTCTACATTTTTCCAGATGAGAACACAAGGCACAGAAATGTCATGTTCAGTAACTTGCCCAGGTTATGGGGAAAGCAGCAGAGCCAGGACACTTGTGGTTTATCTTGGCTTCAGGGTCCATGCCCTTTGCCACCATGATACTGCCCCTTAAAATAAAGATCCAGATTCAATAACTCTCCCTGGCTGTGTAGGAAGGGACTTCAGCTGGGGTTAGGGAGTTGACTGGTTGAAAATTGGGAACAGATATGTCCAGGTCCCAATGGCACTTTCTGCTGTTTACAACAAACCTCAGGGCAAATGTATGCTGATAGGGAACGAAATTGTTTACATGTACTGAGGAGATAAAGAAACAAAATAAGCTTTCTGGAGTGAAAGAGTGACCAATATTTGACAGAGATTTGTTCTTTCTAAATGATTTGCATGATTAACTCATTCAACTTTTTGTTTTCCCCATTTTAAAATCAGGGAAATGGACATACAAGGGATAAATACTTTGCCTAAATTTGTAGGCGGCAAGTGGCAGCTCTAGGATTCAAACCCAACATTCTGCCTCTATAATCCAGGTTCTTAAATCCACCGGTAGGCAAGTTAGCAAGACTGTCAGTGGGGATTCCATCAGCAAAGAGATTTACAAGAATCTAACGTCAATTTATGAAACTAACAGAACAGACCATAGGAGGATGGATCACACTATTTCTGTAATTTTTTTTTACCTACTTGCCAGCTAAAATGTTAAGTGCCATACTATTTCTTACTCAAAAGGAAGTTCAAGGTGGAGAAATGAATACCCGATCTTTTTGATTCTTCAGTCAGTCCTGAAATAGCTTAGCCTTCCCCAATACTGATTTCAGAATGTCCTCTCCCTGCCCTCCACAGCATTCATGGAATAAAGTGGGGCCATGCCAACCATCCCACACATACCCGCAGGCTTTCGATTATACTTGAAAACTTCACAGAACACCAGCTTGTTGGGGTCCTTGCGGAAGGGGTCCCGGAACATGGCGGCAGGCACGAGATACATGTCACTGTTGGAGCCTTCAGACTGTAAAGTACTAGAGCCATCAAAATTCCACTCAGGTAACTCTGGGGTAAAAAAAAGAGGGAAAATTAAAAATGTACAGGAGTTTCCTAGGCAATGCAAAGACAGCCAGCTCCTGACTCCTCTTTCCATCTCTAAATACCTACTTTCTCTTTTCCAGGAAGCCAGAGATATAAATGCCATGATTAATGTGTAAACCCTGACATCTGTACCTCATACTACAGTCCTTCCAAGTAAGACCATTGCATCACTTCCTTGAAAGAAAGAACAGTTGCCAAGAACCTGAGGACACTTCCACCCTAAACAGGGTATGTTCACTACTGGCAAGTAAGCCATTTAAAATATCAATAGAGGGGAATATTCTGATCCTTCTAGATCATCCAAATTGCTTCCTTCTCTTCTTCCCCTGTATGAACTGTTCTAGCTCAAGTTGTATCCTTATTTTATAGAGGGAACAGACAACTAGCAGGATGACTTATTTAAGGATGCTCCCCTATCATTTAACCTCCTGTGTTCTAAAGGTTGGTTTCCCTGTCTCTATAATTTACTCGAGTTCTTTGAAGGCTCACCTTGCATCTCCAGGACCTGTTCAGTATCTGCTACATACGAAGTACTACAATATAGACTTCATATTATGAGCATTTATTCATTCACTCAAATGTGAACATTACCAGAAAAGCAAGCTATCCTCAAGTAAGTAGGAGGCAATTACTTATTTCCCCCCGGCCCTCTCCAGAAAGGAGATGGCTATGGCTTGGTATAGACTGAAAAATGAAGGTCACAACTCCAATACCGTACTAGCTCCTAGAGGGAGAAGCAATGAGGCAGATTCAGAATTTCCAGAATTGGCATCAAGTAAAAACCATACCCGTTTGGAAACCCCTTTAGAGCAAAAGCATCAAGAAACTCAATGATAGAAATATCAAACAGTTCTCAAAAATGCTGTAACTACATGGCATGTTTGGGTTAGAGCAGTGGTTTTCAAACTGGGTTCTTCAGGTGGTCTTGGAGCCAGCTAAGTAGGGATGGCCAAGTTGGCAAAGTCTCCACGAATCCCCTCAATGTTCCACAAACCAGCCTTAGTTTTCCTTCAATATACTGGCTTACAGGAAAGATTCCATTTTAATAAAGAGCTCCATTGTTGCTATGCTTTGAGGCAGTGTAGGAGCTTAATGTTGACTGAATCAAGTCTGAAAAGCTCTGCCTTAGAAAAGCCTTCCCAACAGAATAAAGAGGCCTGATCCAGTGGCTTGGTCAGAGGCTGCAGCCCGCCCTCGAGATATTTCCCGCCACATCGCCTGGCTCACCTTCTACACACTTGGGCTCACAGTCCAGGGTGCGGGTCTTGCAGCGTAGACCTTCTCCAGTACCATCGATCCAGATATACATGGCTTGGACTTTCTCGCCCTGAGGCAGGGCCATATACACCTGCTTGATGCCTTTGTTTAAGTGGGAACTTGCTGAGGTGGCCATGGTGGAAGATGTTCTGGGGAGAAAAACAATGTTATCAACATCTACTCCTAACAGCTCCCCCAGAGTAATGGCTCAAAAGGGGACAATTAAATCAAAAAGCCAAGTGGAAGTCAATGCACTCTGCTTATAGAGATTCAAATTTTATATTAGACAATTATCTACTATAATAAGCTGTAAAAATCTGACCACCTTTTGAAGTAGTTAAAGCAGATGGTTCCTAAAGAAAAGAACAAAACCCTTAGTGGTAAGTCTGGATGCCTCTTGGCATCCCTGAGCTCCAAGGCTGAAGCTCCACAGCTTCTGAAGATCTAGGCTTCCAAGGCAGAATTTATAATTGAGTATTAAGCTCTATTCCTTTCCTATGGCTGAGGCAGTGAATTTTTTTTTTAAGTACTAACCTATTAAAGGATACAGAAGTTCAGCTATAGAAGGTTACCAAACATACCCCCTCCCAACATTGCTGTTTCTCTTTGCCTTGCTCATCTTAGTTGGAGTCTTCATGGAGACCTACTTCCCCCTTTCCCTAACCCTCACAACCAAAAAAAAATACCACCCCACAAAAAAACTACCTTAACACTTAGATTTGAGGATGAAACAAAGGTTACAAAATTTAAAAAGTCAGAGGCTTCTTAAAATAAAAGACTGCAGTACTATCACCACTAAGATGGTAAGAAACAGTGGGTAAGTCAGATTCTGAGCTGCAAGTGGACAATTCCCACTAGTCCGATGCGAAATTCTCACTTACCATAGGCTCAAATTTGAGAATGATAATATTCTTGAGATTTCACTTGAGAGAACTTTTTCAAGTGATTTCAGGAAATTCTCACTTCTAAATCATACAGATTTGGGATTTCAAAAGCTGAAGCATGCCACTACCGCAAGCCACTACCACAAAACCTCTGAAAGAAGACAAACTCTAAAGCACAAAACCAGCCTGGACACAAGAGGAAACAGGTCCTCCCCCTTCGCTCAGTGGCTGGAAAGGGAACACATTGTTCTCCTCCAATGACTTGGGCAACTTTCTCAAGCACAGAGGCAAAGTTTCTATGGGCAACCACCCATGTTTGCCCAGCTGAAAACATAACGGCTCTACCCTCCGACAGCCTCACCCTCCTAAGTAAGAGAACCTCCTAAGTAAGTCGTATCAGAGAACCAAAACCTCCGCCTACGAAGTCTAGAAGACTCAGTCATATCCCATCTTCCACCCCCATCCCTGACACCCCTTCGGCTCCCACCAAAAACTACCACCCCATGTCTGGCTCGGCTTTCTTCTCCAACCTGTTGCACCTGCAACATCACGCCACACTCTCAAGCCTTAGTTCCGGATTTCCTGCTCTTTCCGTGAGACAGTTGGACACCAGCAGTCTAGCGTACCGCATCAGCTGCTACAACCGCGGTGCCAAGTTTACGTGGGGGAAATGGATTCTGAAATTCAGATGTTTCTGCCGCTGCCACTGGCTCCGGGGTCGTTTGCCCTGGCCCCCCCACTCACCCCAGCCACATAGGGTCAAGTGTAGCATTGGGGTTGCCCTCTCTAGCCCTCTTCTTTTTGCAGCGCCATTCGCGCCTCTCCTCTTTTCCGGACTCTTGCTTGTCCAAGCACCGTTGCTTTCTGGGTGAGGGAGACGGAGAGGGGTCTAGAGAGTGGTCTGACCGGAAGGTGGAGGTATTGGCAGGCTGGGGTAAGTTCTTAATCTGGGCTCGCTGTTTCTCCCCAGGGACCACTGAGTAGGCAACAAAGCCGAAGCAGTTGGCGGGGGACCCCGAGGACACTGAGTCCACGTCGTCTTCATCTTCATTCCTTGCTTTCTTCGTGGATCTGTAGCTAGGGCAGGGTCCCCGCTTCCCGCCCCTGGCGGAGTTGGGATAATCCACTTTGAGAGCAGCCCCCTCCCACTGAAATTTCCCGAAAGTCGGCGCCCCGCCCCTTGGGGCCGGGTCCTGGTCTCAGGGCCTCACCGAGGGGCCCATGCCCGCCGCCCAGGGGCTTGGGGGCGGGAGAGGGGGGGCGCCGGCGGGAGAGACAGAGCGCGGCTACGGCCTCCTCCCGGCCCAACCTCTCCACGGGCGGCCACACCGAGGCCCGGGCTCTCCATTGTTCGGTCACACAGTAAGGCCGCCAGGACCCCCAGGCAGTCGCCGGCGCGCCAACAACGCTCAGGGTTACTCGCTTCAACCGAAGCGTCTAAAAGGCTGCCAGTATTTCCACAATTCCCCAAAACGCGCCACCCCGAAGGAAGAGCGCTTAGGGTCCGGCGCCTACAAAGCGTTCTGCGTGCGCCCCGGCAGGAGACGAAGCGGCTACTCCATCCACAACGCAAACACCCCCGCGAGCCCAGGGCGCCGGGAGCACCCAGCGGCCTCCAGGGGCGGCGCTTCGGGCTGTAAGTAGCGAAAAGATCAAAACAACTCCCCCCGCCCTTCACAGAGCCTAATCCAGGGCGCGCCCCATCGTCCCCAACGGCAGCCGGCGGGGAACCACCAGCGGTGAAGACACGCGGTAAGTGCGGGCGTGCCCGATCTGGGCCCGGGGCCACAGTAGTGTAGACCTGGAGACTGGGGGTGGGGGACGGGCGAACCGAGCCGCAAGAAAAGGCTGGAGCGCCGCGACTTGGGAAGCAGGAGGGAGCGGCGCGCGTCACTTGGGGACCTGCGGGCCAGCCAAGGGCTTACCTGGGCGGTGAGCAGACTGGCGGGCGGGCAGATCGCGAGAGCGAGGTGAGGAGAGGAGGCCGATATGCCGTTCAAAAGCCTTACTCTTCTCCCATCCTCGACTCTGCAGAGTGGCAGCTGTCCCACACCCTTTATCTGCGGCCCGGGGCCGCCCCCGGCGCCCTGATTGGTTCCCAGCGGCCGGGAGCCCGGGCAGATCAGCTGATGCGCTCCTGGGCCCGGCAGCCATTGGGCGCCGAGCGGTGCGGGCGCCGCGGGGGTAGGGGCAAGGGAGCGCGGCAAAGAAAGAGAAAGGGGCGTGGGGGAGGGGCC